GTGGCATCGCCCCGATGTGCAAAAAAAAATAGTGGGAAAAAACACCCAATCCTGACCAAGAGAAGATGCTGCAGAAAAGCCGTGATGGGATTTGGGAAAAACACCAAAAATTTGAATATCTGCACTGTTTCCCTATGGCCTGGGTGGAAGGGCTGTCCCCCAAGACCCCTAGGCCAGCAGCCAACACGCAAACCACTGCTGGCAACGTCCAAGTCCCTTTGTCCTGACCCTAAGGCTGGGCTTAGTCCAGCTCAGCGCCGGGGAGAGGCACAGGAAAGACAGAGGAAAGCGTAATTTGACAGCTTGTCATCGATTTCTAAATTTCAACCCAAAAAAGAAGTTCTTCTGGTTTGGAATCAAAACAAACATGCCAGAGATTTTCAGCACGCTGCCAGCGCCAAGGGGCGAGCGGCGTTGTGGGGGAAGCCACTGCCTCCCCGCAGAGCGGAGCCGTTCCCCCTCGTTTTCAGCTCCTGTTTGACATTTTGCATTTGCAAAAATAGTGCAGAAATAAATAATTTAATTTTTTTTTTTTAAAAAAAGCACATTTGGAGCTAAAAACGCAGCTTCTTTGCATTAAGACGAGCTGTTTGCATTCGGTTTCCCTACGTGGAGAGCTGACGTGCTTGCACCAAGGTTTGCGTTTTTGAGGACCCCCCGCTCGCCGCCCCGAGCCCTCCCCACTGCACCCCAAGCTCCTCTTTAAACGCTCATAAAGAGGATGCACAGAAGCAAGAGAGGGGAAAGCAGACGGGGAATAAAACTGCCGGGCTGTGCCGGGCTTTGCTCGCGAGCCAAAAGCGTGTCCCGCGGGGGGTTTGGGGCCGGATCCTGCGGGCGCGGGGAGGGGATGGTGGCCCAGGGGCAGAGGCGCAGCCGCTTACACTGGGTGAGCAGTGAGCTGTGGCGTTGCAGGGCCCGTGGGGATCTCCGCAGAGCCGCCGGCAGCGAGGAAGAGGAGGAGGAGGAGGAGGAGGAGGAGGAGGAGGATGCCCGTGAGGAAGACGGCGAGGAAGGCAAGGGGCTGTATTTCCGGCTTCCGTTGAACATGTCTCTACAAACTAAAATGGATAACATGGAACTGAGGAGCATCGATGCAATGGCTGCAAACTTCCATACCTTCATCTTAGAGCAAGTCAGAACATTGAAACTCTGCAAAACAGGCAAAACAAATATCCTTATTACGTGGCTTTCGCCCGTGGCCCCCCTCTTCCCACCCTCCATCCCCGCGGCTCGGGCTGGCTGAGCATCTCCCACAGGACCACCAGCACCCCCTTGGCTCCATCTCCTCCCTTCCGCCCTCCTGGGACTGGTCCAGTGTTGCAATAGGGAAACTGAGGCACAGAGCTATGGCGCAGACCAGGGACGTGCTGCAAAGGGGAAACGGGCCACAGCGGGCGAGGGTGGCTTGGGGCTGGTGGTGGCAATGGGGACAAGGTGGTGTCCTCAGCCAGGCCCTCCCTGTCGGCACACAGCCTGGTCGGGCGGGTGGATATCCACCTCCCCTCGCTCCAGCCAGGTTTCCTTGGCCGATATCGCGGTGAGCAGCTGCGGGTAAAGGATGGGCAAACTCACGCCACGTCACACCGTGACACCTCTTCGCCCAGCACATCCCTTCCTCGGGACGTGGCGAGCAGCAGAAGGAGCCCCCAGCTCCATCGTCCGCCCCCCTCCCTCGCAGAGCCCTGGTGTGGTTCAATGTCCCCGTCCTTCGGCGAGGTGCGTGCAGCACCGTGAGCCTGCTCCTGCCATCCTCTCACCCAGGTGCTCAACCGGAGCCTGAATCCCTCCCTGCCGGCGCATCGATGCAGCAGCTCCATCAAAACCAGCCAAAACCAGGGAAAAAAATGAGCGGGGCAGCTGGACCATCCCGGTGTGGCTGCAAGGCTTGCGGAGGGACCGGGCACGTCGGCCACGCAGATCATCCGGGGTTGCAGCCCAGCAGTTTCTCAAAGCATTGAAAAAAAACCACCCCCGTTGGCATTTCCCTCGCAGGCGAGCTGGGCCCTTACCTCGTGCCATTCAATTTTCTCCATCCAAAGCAGATCGGATCTGGTGGGATTTTACAACTGACCCCGCAGCCAGGCAGGGCAGCGGGGAATCGGGTCCATGCTCCCGTCAATGGGCTGTCAGACATTAAATCCCCATCAAAGACAGGCTCTGGAACGCGGCATGGACTTGCAGCCGCCTCCTGGCCCCTTTTTTTATTTCAGCTCCTTGCAAACTCTAAACATTTCTCCTTTTTAAATAAATTTTCCACCGGGGGAAAAAAAAAAAAAAAGAGAGAAGGAAAAAAAAAAAAACCCACCCAACCTCAGTTTAGCAATATTTGCCAAATAGAATTTACCGGGGGGAAAAAATGTTTATTTTAAAATGGAATTTGACAGGTTTGCTTTTACTGTTACTGTAGAAAACAACAAGAAGGGCTGTGAATGCTGCCTCATCTCCAACAAGCCTTTATTCTGCAGGATGCGGATAATTACATGTTAACTAACAGTAATTATATGCCCTGTAGGTTACAAGATAATTGCAGAACCCAGCCAGAGTCTAAATATTTTCAACTGGGCTATAAACAATGCCAAGCTAGAAAAAGAATAGTTTCACCATATAAGGAGGTAAGATCATGAAATCCCGCCGGGGTACGAAGCGGCGGAGCTGGCCGAGACACCGCGCCGATAAGCACCGGCAGCAAAACGTGCGTCGGGTCGAGAGTTTGCAGGCGGCTGGTGGGGCTCGGCGGGAGCGCTGGGAGGGGGACGGTGCCATC